TATATATGTGTGTGTGTGTGTGTGAGTGTGTGTGTGTGTGTGTGAGTGTGTGTGTATGTGAGTGAGTATGTGTGTGTTAGTGTTTGTGTGTATACATATGTGTATATTTCTTGATCTTTTATTTTTCTATCTATCTCTCTTTTCGTGTCTCTTTTATAACCTCTTTCCCTGCCCTCCTCTCATTTTCTGTCCCCACACTATACTATAACCAATCACACTCAAGTCCTTACACACACACAGCTCCACAAAGACACCAGAATTGTTAATTTCATGTTTAAGAAGCAGACAATCTAGTTTGAGTGCACAAACATCTTTTATAATCCCCAAGCTGCATCAAAGGGATAAAAACATATTTCTGGAGGCTCATTATTCCTGTAAACTTTATCTCTACTCGGATTTTTTGGATAAAATGTGGACTATGTTCCTATGTTAATGATAATACTTTACGGTAAATACTGTTAATGTTTTTTTTTAAATTATAGTTTAACGGTTTTACTGAAATATCCATCATCTTTCGATGTTTTCAATGCTGGGCTATTGCATATCTTTAGTTCTCATATTACGCATGCCTTATTAAACCAGTCGCGACGACAAAACGATTCCTATATTTACTTTTTTTGTGTTTCAGTTTGTTTTATTTTACAATTTATTTATGTCTTTTTTATTTGTGATAGCTGAGAAGAGATTTCAAATAAACTGTAATTAAGCAAAGCTTGAGAATTCATTCACTAATGGATTCAAGCGAGATTGACTTCAAAACTTAGGTGCAAGTGGAAGAAGATTTTAGGTAATAGAAGAACCAAGTGAAAGCCAGGTTCAATTTAAAGTGAAAGATAAAGAAACAATTGGCATAAATATGAATCATTTTAAGGGGAAATCATAATTCAATGTAAACTTGATTGAAAACGTTGTACGCCCAAATTGACACAATTTAACACTAGGCTGCTTCTAAGAAGTCTGCCAGTGCCAACCCGAGGCTAGAGGGAGACAGCATCCCAGCAGAAAGACGGCGATCATCATGTGGGAATGGGGCAGCGTTTTGGGTGTTAAATGGTGAAAAAAGTAACCATTCTAAAAAGGAAGCCAGCACAATAGTCATGGGGCCTAATGTCTGGTATTTATGGTCATCAAGCAATTCCCCCTTTTCAACCCATGTCTTTTTCTCGATGCAATCAGCATTTCTTGCCAACCACTAGCCTCGATAGCCATATGGCGCAGTCATGACAAATCCCGCTTTAGTACAAATATTGCTATTACTGAAGGATTCAGCAAATCGAAGCTGACCTCTTGATCAAAACGCAGTGGTACTTGTTGTTACGTTATGCCGCTCTCTGGATTTCTATAATACGGTTACGTCAATGAAAAGCTGAGTGATCTGCTATCGGTAACAGCCCATCAATGAATTGGCACTATCGACGTTTTCACAGCTACCTGTCAGGGGACATTTGGACCAATGACCATGTCGGTATTTAGAGTGATGACTTGCGCAATTTACTTGTGTTCATTATTTGTTTATGCGTGCACTTAATCTAAAAAAATGATGCTTATGTATCGAAACAGCACTCGCGGCGAAACTAGGATTATCCAGAAATGAGAATTAATTCGGAAACGTTTTTTTTTCGAAATAGTTTCTTTTTTCTGACGAGCAGGGCTCCAGACACCAATTGGAATATGAAACCCTAAGCCTCCAAGAATATATATTATTAAAAAGACCCTCTAAATGTTTCATCTTCCACGTGTCGAAGCCAAGGTCGCACTTGTGCAAAGAAGGAATAAATTTAACCTATAATAACTGGGAATCTATCGAACTGAAGACATGAATGTAATCTTTTTTTTATATTTCAAAATACATAAAGAAGAAAGGGGTGGACTTGGGGGGGGGGGGGGGGAGAGAAAAGGTTCTCAAAATGTCTTCTAACTGACCTACTTTAGCAACGCTCCTGTTGACACTCTTTCACCAAAGCAGCACAATAAAGCACCTCAATCACTTTTCGGCCATAGTTGCTATTTCTACATGTACTTGCACAATAGTATCCTTTTCCAAAGAACCGCACCTCATTCAGTCGTCCAAATTTCGCACAATCTTTGAATATGCACTTCACATTCAAACTTTGTTCCAGATGGCTGGGGACATTCTAACTTGCAGACCGAAAATCGACGCGAATAAGAATTTCCTGACTGTTATCCATTCCTCGCAAGAAACCGTTATGAAAATCTACCACTATTACCGCTGTGTATTAGTTTGCGCCCGTCCAGTTTCCAGCCCACTGCCTCTGGTGCCAAAAACACAAGTAGAGGCACACGTGGGCGATCAGAACACTAGCCCGGGTTAACACTATTGAAAGATTATCAATAAGCTGGTTATTGATTATATTGTTTGCTGTAGCCAGAGATCACTTTTCCAATTCGTGCTTTTTCGGGGGGACGGTGTCTATTTTATTTTGTAGCATTTTTGTTTCAATTCATTTTTAAGGAGGCGGGATTTTTTTATATTACAGAATATTGACGATAAGCGCTTGAATTTTTTAAACAAACAACACGTCCCTCAGTAAACCGTGTCAAGAAAGGGAAAAAACATTAATAAAAGAAGTACTGTATTCTTGTTTCTGAGCCTTTAAAACAGGTTAGCTACTTGAGGAATTATGATGGAAGCGAAATTAATTTTCATTAACTTATGTTGAATTAGTTGCCGATGATGTTGTTGATCAGCGGATTGGGGACAGAAAAGTGAAATGAATACGAGTCGGGGAGAGCGATATCTTTGGCATTTTTTGAACTTCTAGACAATAACAATATGATATTCCTTATATATTTCAATTTAATATCTAAGGAAGCTTTCCAAGTGCAGTTGTGTGCCTACCTTCACCTTCTAGGGCTGGATTATAAACCTATTTCGGTAACTATGGCCTTTTTAGATAAAGCCTTATAGCAAGGGGTATAACTGGAAAACATATTATGTAAAATGTAACTTTAATGTTTTCTGTTTAAGTCTACAGTTGCCATGGTAACGGCCGCCATATTGAAAACAAACAGCTTTCAAACAAGTAAAAAGGATTTTTTATTTTCCATGCAAAATTTTACACAGTTGGGATCTTGGATATCTTAAATAGGAAAAAAGTTAGAGATGGATAACTGACCTACCCCCTCATGCCTCTGAATTTGAGTACATATTCATCCATGTAACTCACTCATGAATGCGTCGAATTTATTTTCCACCTCTATAAAGTTAGCCTACTTTATGAATAACAAACCCTGAAAATTTCGTTGGAATCAAAAAGAAAACAAACAAAAATAGATGAGAAAAAACATCAAAAATTGAAGTTTTGCGAAAGATCGACATTCTGTTACATAAAAAGCAAAATGAAAATTCTAGGACATAAAATTCGAAAGATGATGATTGTAACACAAAGGGTGAGCACTTTTTAGATTTACCAGTGATTGGAGTATTATAATACGTAAAAAGTTCGAATACCATAAATTGACCAAAAATCGTCAATTTAAAATCAGCACCAA